AAAAAAAAACAAAGAACATCATTTCATAAAAGTTTCAATTTTTTTGTTAGATTCTATAGAAAAAAATTCTGTGTTGGCAATTTCTTATTGAATACTATTTTTTTTATTTATGTTTGTATTATTATTTCAAGAAAATATACTATCTGTTGTACAAAGTTATCTAGGTTCATTTGATCAACATCGTCGATCATTTTCTACTATAATATCTCAAACATCAAGAAAATCAAGTTTTATAAGTCATCATCCATCGAATGAAGATGATGATGAAAAGAAAACAATAACACACGAAATTGAAGATAAATCAATTGATCTAAATGGAAAGGATATTGATTATTCTGTTTTATATAATGAGACAGTTGAAGATTTTAGTTTTACAAATGCACGCAAACAAGCTTAAAAACAAGTTTCAAGTGGTCAACAAAAAGTAGTGTTACAACAAACCAAAGAAGAAGGAGAAGAAGAAGAATAGAAAACTTAGACATTGTCTTTTTCTTAGTATGATTTCCTTCACATAGATTATTTATTAGTTCCATTTATTATGTCATATAAAAAACAAATAAAAAAGAATAGTTTTATCAGTTCGTACGATGATTACTTGATATTTTGTTCTAGACCAATGTCTTTCTATTGCAATGAGGAAAATTGAAATAGAACGAAACATTTATTTTTTAGATTGGAATATGTTTGCTTATATATATATGTCATTGTGTTATGTGTATTATTTTATTTTATTCGTCTAATTTCGATTTTATAGCATTTTATAGGTTGTTCAGCTAAAACTGGCCATACTTTGTTCAAGTTGAGCAGAGAATTTCTTGAACAAGAAACAATCGAACTTGATTCTCTTTCTCGTAGAGAAGAGTCTAGCAAGAATAAATTGTTTGCTTGCTTGTATTTCTGCACTTCACTGATTGGTCCAAGAATAATGTGAAAACAAAAGGGATTAGTTCCCATAAAACTTGAACAAAGGTAATCGGGAGCGGTGAGTTTAAATATGAGGTTATTTTTAATTAATTATTAACTAATTATTAATTGATTATTAATTATTAATATTTCTCTAAAGCTTGACCAAAGATAATTAAGGGTGGAAAATGCGAATCCGAGGGCAGTTTTAATTAACTAATTGGGTGTGGGTGTCGGTGTTTCAATTTGTGTAGGTCTGTGTGCGTGTGGATGTTGAAGAAGATCCGCACCCCACAACCCATACCCACACCACACCCCGCTACACCCACACCCCTGGTCGTTTCGGGCTTCTTGAAGTTATTTTGACTATAATAAGATCAAAAACTTCACATCGCCATAGTGAAAAATAGTCCTTAGTTCATAATGCAGTTCATTTGCGGAGTTTTGCGGGAGCTTAAATTCAAGTTTTAGTATATTATTCGGTAGAGCATATCATCGTCTATCTTCAACAGATGCGCAAAGATGCGCACTTAAACTCTGGTTGAAATATTTGATTTTTTACAGTATCTTGTACCACAACGCCGTGGTGCCCCTAAAGTTCACTTGAGAGATCAACTTTTGAATTTCAATTTGAAAGTTTTTTCAGAGAAAGGTCTCAATGCGACTAGTTTATTCTGAAAGTTTCAAATTCTTTGGTTGCTCCTATCCTTAAATATGAACATTTAACATTTTGTGCTATAAGTAATGTGAAGAAGGGTACTTTTTCTTACATTCATATGTCGGAATAGAAAGAAGCCAAAAATCTGAAACTCTCAGAATAAACTTATCCCATTGAGAACTTTCTCTGGGCAAAGTTTCAAATGGAAATTCGAAAGTTGATTTTTCACGTAAATCTGAGGGAGACCACAGCATGGTGGTAAAAAATACCGTAAAAATCAAATATCTCGACAGAAATAAGCTAGAAGCACGAACTTTTTTTAGGATGTTCATAGCTCACTAGAGGCTACATAATGCACATAGTCTCGACTCAAAAGCTATTCAATACCTCGGAATTGTTCCTGCCCCTTTTGTCCACTGTGATCCACACCCATACCCATATCTTATGCCTTTTCTTAGTAAATCTATGCCCAATTCAAAAACATTGTGCCTTTGGAGGTCAGATGGTTTTTCTTAGATATCTAGTAAGTATATTTTAAATGAAAAATTAATTAGAACAAATTATTTAAATCTTATTCATGGAGCTTTGGAAAAAAGAACATATATAATTCTTACAATTTTTTATTTGAAAAGATCGATCAATTTTGCATTAGTTTTATTTACGCATTATCATTGTTGTCTCCTTTATTAATTAAACATACGATGAATATTTTTTTCCATGGATTGACTTTTTTTGCTCATTCATTTTTAGTTGGGATTATTATTATACAGTAGATAAAACAGCTGGCCATCGAATGGACTGCAAATGTGATTCAGCTAAATGTCGTCGTCGAGTTCCCTAATCTTTGATCAAAATTAAATAAAGACCAAAACAGATTTCGTAGAATAGCGCTTTTTTCTGTCTTGTTTTTTTCTAGAAAAGCGAGAAGGACAAAAAAAAGAATTTCAACATATGTATGTGATCATTATTTGGTTTTTTGCTTCGTTGATTTCTTAGATGGATTTATCAAAGGATGAATAAACAGATTTTTTGAACAAAATAAAAATCTTAAATTTTGAAATAAATCTCTAGAAAGTCTTCTTAATCTTTTAATTAGAGTAATTTTTATCAAACAGGAAATCCATTTTATAATCGATTAGATTTAAATGAACAAATTTATATGAAAAATCTTCTAATTGAATTAATAGCACAATCAAATGAATTCATTTTTGTTGAAATTTTCCTTTGTTTCTCATAGTTAAATGCAATCGGTATTGAATATAGACTTGTTCACTGACGAGATCTAGTCTTGTATATATTATTCGGAAATATTTTTATAAAGGACCAAATGAATGCATGTAATCAAATAAAAAACAAAATCATTGTCAAAAGGCATATTTGATATGTTATGGAACGTTTGAAAGAAATGATGTGGATATTGTTCTCGTGAAACATTTTTTTCATATTAAAGAATATGTGATGTTGATTAACTCGATGTTGCTCAAGAATTAACTAAATATCAAAAGTTTTTAAATTGTAAAGAAGATTATTCAACTACTTTAATCCTTTACTCCCTGTTGGGACATTTTCGACCTATTCATGATACAATCTATTTGGAATATTAAATCATCGAATCGATATGATGATTTCAGAACATTGTGTAAAGCTGTTAATCAGCTACGAATTCGAAAAAAAACCTTCGTTTCGTCATTTCTTGGCTAAGATATATGAGTTGAAAAACGGTATTTTCTCAAGAAAGTGAAAAGAACCTGTTTTATTTAGTTATACAGACTGATTATTCTGATATTTATGGGATTGGTACATAATTAATACTATGAGCATAATCTATTTGTAGGATAGTTTTTTAAAAATTTCTTGATTAGGAATGTCAAAGCAACATTTTTCATGACAACTCGGGTCACTTTTGACTCATTTGCAATAAAACATTTTATTAGAATGATAAAAGATAAAAACTTGCAGTCTCTATTATGACCTTCCTTCTTGACAAGACTTTAACAATAGAAATGAGGTTCTTATAGAGAACCTCATCATATATCATCCTCTGAAATGACTCATTTTTCAAAAAAATTATTCATGATAAGTAAGTTTTCAACTTTATACAGATAAAATAGCAGTATAACTGCAAAAAAGTCAATTTAACAATAAATTCAATTTTTGTGTCATTCAAAACGAATAAATCATTGTAGACCCATTCGACATCTCCACAGTGAAATGACTTGACCTAAATTTAACTACATCGATGTCATAATTAACATTTGTAGAAACTATTCTAATGGTTGTCTCAACACTAAAGCTATTGGATGAATGCTGGAGATAAAGGATTCAGCAAGATTTCGTATCACAGTATAATAACATTTCATTTTCAAGTCGTGTCATATATTCAGAAAATCAAGAACATGATAGGTTTTTGAAAATAATAAATGTCTTCATCTTATGTAGAGATGAACATGAAAATGTAGCATTACTCTGGCAGATAAGATTTCTTTCAGAATGTATTTTGTCCAGTATGAAAACCGAGGAGATGATGCTCCTCATAAGACTAAGTTCGCTCTTTCGAGGCTCATATCACAGTTGAAATTGGTTCAGTTCGGTTGAACTTTTAAAACCGATCGGTGGTCACCGATCTTTTATCAATTTTAAGGATACTGAAGCTAATCTATTTTATCCTTCATCAAAATCCCAAATCTAAGTTTTGAATTCACTCTTTCTCATAGTACAATAAAGGTCTTGGATTACAGAGTGAATGTATTAATTATGGTCACAAAAAGTTAGCTAGTCATTAGATGGTCCAAAATTTCGAGCTCACACTCTGAACTATTTTTAACCGACTATCAAAAACTCTTAACCTTTCGATATAAAAATATTAGAAAAAATTTGTTCCACTTAGATAATTATATGCCAACTATTGGCATCATGGAACTATGAAAATATCTTGGTATTACGAAATTTAAAAATATAAAGCCTAGTATAAAACCGAACTTCATAGATCATTTTACCTTTCTATGGAAAGTAATATTCTTTTACGCATCGAGAAACGTTTCAATTTAAAATTATACCAGCGATTGTTTATATTACAGTTTGCATGACATTGCATTGAAAAATTTCTTTCATCTGAAGACCTACTACTGGTCTACTATTGAATCTGATTACAATTAGAAAGTTATATCTTGATTCTTGATCATCAAAATTCAGATTGGTATTCTTTTTATTAAACACTACATGACAATGATCTTGAATATATACTAATTAGTTTGTTTTTTCTTGTATTATGTTCTCCTTCTTCTTCTTTGTTACTGTTATCATTAACTGCCAAATAAGTTACTATTGATTGATCAAAAAACAAATTTTTGTAAAGTTCAAATAGTAATACGAGATTCATCCAGACATGTGTAACCAATATCAAGAAATCCACATTCAAAATCAACAGTTGTTTTAGGACGAGCCCATGTAATTGAAATAAAATGACTATTTACATCAGATTCTTTGCTGTGTAGATGATAATTTTATTTTGCTACATGAGCCATAGCTATCAATATATTCATTAACAACTGTTTGATAATGATTTTGAAATGATCTATCAAGAACTTGCAAATATTGTATACAACCTTTCGGAATAACAGATACTACAATCATTTTTTTTCTCAAATGTTCAATGATCTCTGGTTTTAGATGAGAATTAGTTGAATCGATAACAAAGAGTTTAATATGACCATGATGAAACTATGAAAAAAAATATTATCTTTTATTGACAAAATCGATTATCGTGTCTGACAAATTTTTTCACTGATGGTGTTACTCTTTAACCCATTCTCATAATAATTCATTAACAAAATCACACTATCATCATATATTTTTGTCCGATGTACTCAAATGAGGCTTTCATACCTTTTCCAACCAATATTTAATATATCCATTCATTGAGAGTCCATCAATTGTAGCTTTTGTTGTAAAAATGATGTGTACATCTTTAGAATATTGTTGACGTTCATCAATACTAATGTTACCTTTTTCTTTGAACAATATCGTTAGTTTCATGCGTTGGTTTTTACCAAAAGTACCAAGAAGATATGAGTGTGGGGTGGGCTGAGAGTGTCGATATACCTAAGAAATCCAAATATCCACACCCACCCCCGAAAACAAGGGTACCTCTCTAAATGACTACGTGGAACCAGCGCACGGGATGCATTAGATCATCATTTTTCGTTTTAATTGCTTATCTTCATTTATTCACGCTATATACAGTCCATTCCATTTCAAGAAAGAAACTGGTTGTTTTCATTCAATCGCTTTCTGTCTACAGAAAATTTCTTTTTTATTTGAAAAGTAAAAATTTCACACTATCAGCATCATTTTTGTTTGCTTTTCACTGTTCGTAATGTTGTATGATGCAAAATAAATTCAATGAAAGATGCATGAAATGAGTCTTTTTCTTCATTTTTTCCGCGTCTCTTTGTCCATTAACACAATGTTGACAGTATGTCATGAGAAAAATGAAAAACAAAATCATTTTGCAGTCGAATTCTTACAAGAGAGAAAGAGAGATTCATTTGGGTATCGTGTTCAATTTCAAACAGGGTGTGGGTGTAGCTGTCGGTATGGATGTGGGTATGCATGTAGATCTGCTCTCCATACTCCCGATCACACACACACCTACATCCACACCACCCATCACCACCTCACACCCCACACCCCCACCCTTTTACATGGGTACGAGACTAATTTAAGAAAAAAAATTATATTTAACAAAGAAAAAAAATTTGTTTTTTATTCATACTGATCTTTGATCATTAACTGAATCATTGATAAATTCAATAAGAATAGCATTATTCACATCTGGTACAATCTTTTCTATTATGAATAAACCATCATTTAATGATTCATATATTTTTCATAATATGATTTCAAAAAATGTATAAGTAAACATTTCATATTATTCAATTGTGAAAGGAATCTATCAACATCTAGATAAAAATTTGGTGGAAAGTATCCACAGAGAAATTGTAGAAAATGAAGAAAAAAAAACGTCGAATGAAAAGATCTTCGTCGATTAATGATTTATATTACAATTTTCCATTCATTTGTTATTGGATCAAACATTTCATTTCAACATTTTCTATTGCATCATTTGAATACCATCCACCAACTATAAAAATAAAATAGATTAATATTTTAATATTTAAATGAGAGAAAGAGAGAGAGATGAATAAATACTAACAGAAAAATAATAAATATTATCATAATAATGGATCAACATCAGATTGATTTAATGAAGTATTTATTTCAGGATGATAATCTAATAAAGATTGATATTCATCATCTGGATCACTGGTATCTTCTGTTTCGCATACCACCGTTGTGTGGTAATTAAGTAAGGGTATTAATTCTTGATTATCTTCATTTTTTTCATTATTAAATGGTTCAAAATAATTCGTATGAAGTTTTTTATTTCCATCATTATGTTTTCGTTTTAAGGCAGAACGATGCACCAATGATAGTAATGATGCCAAACTATAACTTGTTAAACAATCATTAATATCTGATGGTGAAAGTTTAATATATCGATTGTTTGACCCAATAATAAATAATTTGACATGTGTACTAGCAGAATCACGATTAATATGAAGTTCACCACCAAATAGTTCATGTTCAAGAGCATTACCAGCATCGTATTTATCTGAATCAGCGTAAGTCCTGAAGAATGGTAATTGTGGTGTTACCTTTTTTGTTGGACTACAATATCGTACAGCATGTGTAATTTCATGCATTAAAAGAATTGCCAAGAAGAATTTAGATGCTTCAGCAGAAATAGGACTACCATAACCTAAAACAAATAAAACAAAATTTTCTATTAAAAAAAAATAATAATAAAATATTTACTTGTTGTATCAAGGTCAAAGACCATTGGATTTATACAAATTGCAGCTTTCTTTTCGAATTGTGTTGTAGTTGCATATTCTTTTGTACGATTCGGATCTAATACTGATGGATCGACTTTTGCTGTTGGATGGACGATAGTGATAATCACATTATTTGAAATTAATTTTTCAAGTGTTCGTGTTGACATTGTTGATGGTCTGAAGAAAATTTCTGTTTGTTCTAATAGTGTGGAATTGATTGTAATTCTTTCATATGCACCATTCACTATATTTGACCATGCTTGTACACATCGTTGATTAGATGAAAGAAAATTTGCAAGGAATTGTTTAGATTCATTAAAACGTTCTCGAATAGATTTTCTTTCATTTTCTGAAAAGTAATCATGAATAAGCACTTGATAAAAATTTAAATGAAATTTTCGAGATGTTTCAGATGATGCTTTTTGATTACTATAAAATATCAAGAGAAAAAAAAATCATATATTTCATAAAAAATAAATATTTCATTAAACAAACTTTTGAATAATTTCTGGAGTTTCATCATGTAAAATAATATGTTCATATTCTGTATCATCAAATTTACGTGAATCACTTGATTGACTGTACAATTTTGATTTTTGAATTGTACTTGAACTTGTTTGATAATTCTAAATAATTTATAAATAATTCAATTTTGATTTATATTTTATTTTTTCGTCTTTAATATTTACTTTATCAGAATATTCATTGGATGTATGTACTGGAGTACCTTCATCAGATGATTGAGATTTAATATGAGAAGTTTCAAAATCTATTGATGTTTGACCAAATGAATCTTTACCATATAATAAACGTATATCTTTTATTCGATGTAAATCAATACCCATACCAATCTAATAATGACAATAAATTAAAAAAAAGAAATTAATAACGCTTTAGAAATAAGAAAAAAAAAGAATGGAAATTATAAAACTTGTATACTTCTAATCAATGATCAGAATAATAAATGTTTGAACAATAAAGATCTTAATCATAGTTCATCATCTCTCTTTTTCTCTTCTCTCTATTAAACATCTAAAAATAATCTAAAATTTAATACTACGATACACACATAATATTTACATTTTATCAATTTTAATCTTTTATTCTTATCGAATTCTATCTCAAAATTCTAGAAGATAATTAAAATAATTCAACTCTTTAAAAGTTATCTCATATGATTAAATATTTCGATATAAAAAATTAATACCTGTATTTGACATGCTGGTAAATTAATATTTGTATTCATTTCTATAAAGGAATGTTCCATTTGTAATCGTAGATTAATTTCAAGAAAGAAAAATGTTTCATTATTTGAATTATATAAATATTCAATTGTACCAACACTAAATTATATTTATTTTAAAATAAACATTAAAAAAAAATAAAACTAACCCAACATAACCAATTAATTTTGCTAAACGTACAGCTCCTTTTTTCATTTGTTCAAGAATTTTTGGTGGTGGTAAAATTCTTGATGTTTCTTCAATAGATTTTTCATGTCGTTGTTGAATTGAATAATTATGATTAAATAATGATATTATATGTCCATTTTGATCAGTAATTATTTGTATTTCTAAACGTTGACAATTATCTACACATTTCATTACAAGTATTGGTGAATTTGGAATATCTTTTTTAATCTAAAATTCAAAAAAAAAATCAAAGAAACAAAAATGCCAATTTAAATTTACTTGTTGAAAATAATGTTGGAAATTATGATGATTTGTTGCTGTTTGTATTCCTTTTTTTTCACTACCTTTTGATGCTTTAATCATTACTGGAAAACCAATTCGACTAGCAATCTAAGAATTAAAAAAAAAACAAAATTCTATTTTTCAAATAACAACAGTGGAAATGTAATCTTACTTCTACACCTTCTTTTGCATCAATAACACATGCTTTTTCATATATATCTATTGGAATATTAATATTCTCAAGATCTTTTTCATTCCATTCAACTTTAAGATCTAAAAAAAATAAAAGAAAAAATTCTAAGACAATGCATTAAATTTTTGAATTACTAGATCCACTCCATAATAATGTTGGTAGATCAACATTTTGAGCAATAATTGTCGAAGTTATTTTATCACCTAATATTAACATAGTTTTTTCTGATGGACCTATTTTCATCATTAAACAAAAAAAAGTCATTATAAAATATTTTGGAATAAACAAATCGAATAATTTACCAATAAATATTATTCCATGTTGACGAAGTAATTCAGATAATTTCGAATTTTCTAATGGATGATTCCATCCAGTCCAAACAGCTATTTAAAATCGAATATAATTTTCATTTGAAAATAAAACAAACAAACCTTGTACACAAAATTGTTTAGCAATTTCAAGAATAAATTCACAATTTGAATAATTCATATGCGATGGACCATCTACAACATCAACATATTCATCAGCATATTGAATATATTCTAAAATAAACAAAAACCAAAATCTTTTCTTTATACATTGAAAATAACATCTAACCAGCATTAGCTTTTCTATCTTCTGGTGTAATCATAACAACAAATTTAATTGTTTTTTCTTGTTGAAACATTTCATAAGACCATTGTCGAATTAAACGCATATATGTAGCAGCTGCAATACCATTATTTGCAATAAGAATCTTCAAAAAAGAAATATTTATTTTTATTGATACAAAAAAAAGAAAACAAATTTTACTTTATTAATCACATGTGATCCACCTAAGAAATGACAAAGTTCTTGTAATGTTGTCATATTTGTTGGTTGTAAACTAATTGATTCTGTAGTTAATCGCGACGTTGTTCTAAATCATATACATATAAATTATTATTATTTTTTTGTTTAAAAATAATTACCTTAAATTATATGATAATGTTTTTGAATGAAGTGTTACATCATTTATTGAATCAACTGATGATAATGAAGGATTATTTGCAAAAGATGATGAAAATTCAGGAGATTCATCTAATAAATTATTAGTATTATCAATATATTAAGAATCATCAATATCAAATTCACCTTTTGATGTTTGTTCTGTTGGTTTTGAAGATGATTTTTTTTCTTCACTACCAGAAGCCATTAAATAAAATAAAGTTTTTTATTTAAAAAAGAAAATCAAAATATCTAAAACAAAAAAATAATACAATAAAATTTACAATGGTATATATTGATGTACAAATTTCACGTGAAATACTGCAAAAGATCACTTGTCTGCCTCTCATTATATCATACAGTAAAACCTTCCTATATGGACACCTCTGAATTGTGAACACCCCTCGGTCCGCCCGAGCGACTTTTGCTGGAAAAAAATCTCTTGAATGTGGACACCTCCTTATTCTGGACTGTGGACACTTTTTTTCGGTCCCGACTGAATGAATAACCTCTCGAAAATGTACACTTCCTTAAGTTCACCACACATTTTTTCGTTCAGTCAAAGCTATACACACACACACACATATATATATAGGCACTTATTTGATTTATACGACGGATAGGTTGCAAGAATTAAACAATCGATAGAGATAAATATGGAGAAAATACAGAAGAAATCAGACAGAAATAGAATAGAATAGTCAAGATAAAACAATGGAAGAATAGATGAATCAAAAACAGAAGAAAAGAATGAGCGAGACAAATACAAACGGTCACAAAAATGATAATGTATCAACAAAAAAAAAGAAAAAAGACTTCATTCACACTCTTTCCTATGCTTCTTCTTAGGTCAAATTAGATGAAAATAACCTACACAATATAAAACAAAACTATTTTTCATCTGTCCATCTTAGATACTTTAGACTGATAAAGAAAAAAATTAAAACCTTTTTTACATAAAATATTTCTGAAAATAATTCATATCCACAAAAAAAACTAAAGCATTGTTATCTAAAGCAAAAAATAAAGTTTTAAATAAAAATATTTTCTTCTTCAATTCTTTTCAATTGATCAGGTATTATACTAGGTCTTGATCTTGACGATATTCTAATCTAATTAGAAAAGAACCAATAGGCTATTTGTTGATGTCTACCAATATCGATGAATTGATTTTTTTAGCGATCTACTGGCATTAAATGTTTTTCGAAATAAACTTCAATTTTGTCACTGTTTATAAGTACATTTCACTTCAGATCTCGCATGAAATACTTCATTAGCTAATTGAAATAAATTGTCAAACAAACAAAGTGTTATTGCAATTTTCAATTTGTGGAAGTAATGAACGGACCATTGTTTGAAGAATATTTTGTATCCAATGGTATAACAGTCTTCTAGTGTCTGTTAAGGGTGTGGGTGTGACTCTTCTGTCCACCCACACCCTTCTAAACACCTACAGATACGATGTTCTTATCTTAGACTAGGAGCAACCAAAACATCTGAAACCTTCACAATAAACTATTCTCACTAAGACCTATCTATATGAAAAGTTGCGGGCGGAAACTCAAAACTCACTTTTCCTGATGTTCCTGAGGGGGGACCACAGCTTTTTCCAAAACACATAGTAAAAATGTTGTGTCTCAGCAGCAAGAGGCTAGTGGCACGAACTCTTTCCAAAGAACTCATAGCTCATTAGGGCCTAGTGTATGCACTGGTTCAGTGAACACCAATATCAGTGCAGATAGTGGGACCAGTGCAGACAGTGTCAGTGTATCACTGCAGACAGTGCGCTTTGTGTCAGTGT